TGCTGACAATACGGAAATTTCAGATCGACTGTCTCCTTTTGTGTTTCGTTGCTAATAGTTCTTTTGTCACCGAAAAAAAGATCTTTTACTTCAATTGGGAAAGGAAAGTGAACGAGGCTCCGAGGGGATTGTGAGAGTGAATGATCGACAGTACCCTGCAGAATGAAGCCTGGATTTTTCTACGGCGGATCACTCAACTCAGCCTTGTCCTTTCTTCTACCAATGCAAATCCCCTCGCCCCTTTAACTGTTCGAATTCTTTAGACTGTCAACTCTCCTCTTATGTCGTTATTGGTTACTCTACAGTAGTAGATAGGCAAGTCCAGGGGTCTTTCTCACAAGCCGAGTTCACATTTCGTATACTTGTATTCCATCTACTTTCAAGTAAAATGTTCAAAGGCTCTAGTCGCTAACAGAGCATCATCTTCCTTGTGTATATCTACCATATATCTACCCAATCTATAATTTAGCCTGTATCGACGACGACGAAGACGACGACGACGGTGGCGGCTTTATTCTCGCCCGCAACTCCTTTCTCAGAATCTTCCCCGACGCGCTCTTCGGGATCTCGTCGACAAAAAAGACACCTCCGCGCAATTGCTTGTAACTTGCGACTCTGTTCTTGACAAAGTCGGCCACTTCCTGGGCCGTGATGGTTCGGCCGTCGCCGTCAGAGGATTGGCGGCGAACCACGTACGCGCGAGGCACTTCTGTCTGTTGCGCCTCATCCCACAGGCCGATGACCGCCGCGTCGGCGATGCGAGGATGAGAGATCAGGAGCGCCTCCAGCTCGGCCGGGGCGACCTGGGAGCCTTTGTACTTGATGAGTTCCTTCTTCCGGTCGACGATGCGGACATGGCCGTTGGTGTACGTCCCGATATCTCCAGTGTGGTAGAAGCCCTGTTGGAACGACTCCCTGGTGGCCTCTGGTCTATTGTGGTATGCCTGGGCGAGTATGGGCCCTCCGACGAGCATTTCACCCGGCTGGCCCTCCGGCACGTCTCGGCCGTCCTCATCGATAACTCGGAGGGTGACGTTGGGACAGAGCTCGCCCACACTCCACGTCCCGTCCTTGGAATATGCGAGCCAGTCCGTTGCAGCAATGACACCCGTCGTCTCAGTTGTCCCCCACGTTTGAGCCATGTGAGCCCGACCTCGACCCAACTTCTTCTGAACCTCTTTGACGAGATCTTGTCCGATGGGTGCCGCACCCGTCACGGCGACCTGCAGAGCGTCGAAATGATCCGTAACCTTGTCGCTTTTCGCGATTCGCAACCACACCGGGGGCACAGTGAACTGGTAGGCGGGGCGATAGCGCCTGTGGCATTCGAGAAAGGTTTCGAAATCGTACTTTTCCATCCACCAAGCCGTGCCGCCCATGTAGAATGGATTGGTCGAATACAGACTGATCCCGGCGATGTTGGACATGGGTAGGTGCGCTATAGTGTTGAAGGTAAATTCTCGGCCCTCCTTTTCGCTGATCGCTTTATACCGGCGCGCAGGGTCCATTGTGCAAACATTGTTCGCCACAAGACCCCAGTGCGATATTCGAATACCCTTTGGTAGACCGGTGGTCCCGGACGAATATAACAAGCAAATCGTGACATCCTCCAGTGTCGGCAGATCCGTGAGGCGCTGCCAGTCCAGCATCTGACCACTGGTTCCAAGCAGGTCTGATCGGTCCGCCACGGATATCAATTTCCAGTGGTGTGGGATAGTGCTATCGAGAAGCAAAATCCTGTCCTTGGGGATGCCGCAGATCTCGCCGGCTCGAACGACCTGCGCTTCGCATTCTGGCGAGCACACCAACAAACTGGCCTTTCCGTCCTCAATTTGACGCGTCAACTCTTCGACTCGGTATTCTGTACTAGCGCCGGAGAAGATACCTCCAGCAGCGACAATGCCATAGAAGAAGACAGGTGCAAAAGGACTCCCGCTGAGCACCGTCAGGACAACATCTTTACCTGGTCCCGAGGCGCCGATGCCGAACCGTTGTCGAAGAACATGGGCAACCCGTTTCAGCAACTTGCGGCTCTCGGCCTTGGTGATGCTGTTCGATGGATTCGCAGCTTGCACATGGATTTCGGTCTCTTCACGGGCTAAACACCAGTCTGATTCTATAGAACAAATTAACGATCCGTGGCCAACACCGGTGCACAGTGAAGAAGCGTGATTGATCGGCCCTACCATACAAGAGTGACAGGATATCGAGGCGAGGAATGTCGATCTGCCTCTTGGATTTGAACACCACCATGTTCACTCACAGCGCGACGGAAGCTATTTCTTGCTAGCGCTGGTGGATGAGTGATTCAAGATACATAATGAATACCTCGTACAAGTCGATCGTAGCACCGTGGTTGAAAGTACTATGTATCGCTGGATGCGGGGAAGGCTGAGCATCTGCCCCGAGGATCGCATGTTATAGCCGAGTTCCCCAGCAGTGGCGGGCCGAGGAGTGCGAGAGTGTGTGGAGAAGAGAAGGATGAAAGAGGTTGGATTCTGCTCTTCAGATCTCATAGTAATGTGCCTCCACGGCCGAGCAGCGAACGTGAGAGTCAAGGAAACGAGGCCGGATATCATTTCCAGAATCCAGATCCACATCCGAGTCTGTACAAAAGCCCATCTAAGCCTTACGAAGCTTTGCGTTAGCCACTGTCTGAGTTTTGGACCCTCGTGGGATCTCAATCGACTGAGGTTGTATCTCGGAACGAACAATCTTTCTTCGTCAAAGTCTTTGCGTAATTGAACCTCGTGGCTGGTAAGGCTGAGTGAGGTACAGGAGCTGGACCGGCATTGATGCGTATTGCAACAGCGTGACTCGTGACCAACATTGGCAGTATACAAGCAGCTAAACCACGATTTTGTTGACACTAATAGAGAACTGGATAGGTCTCCTTGCTCCGGGTCAAGACGTGAAATGGTGGATGATGGTTCGCATAGATATGAAAGTGCACTCACTCCATGTTTGATGTACCGTGCAGTACGAGCCTGAATCCGTACGGTGGAGCAAAAGCACCATAGTTGCATTGTGATATCAGAGCTCAATGCCCGTTGGAGCTGCAAGTACTCGGTACAGACAAAAACCTCGCCCGATCCCCGTCCTCGAAATCCCACAATAGAACAAAAGGGCTTACCTTTGACCTTGCTTTTCCACATCCGCGCCTCTCGGCAGCCTCGCTTGTGACAAGATCTTACCGACTCGACCTACTCCGCAAGCTCTACAACAAGCAACGTCAGAACATTTTTCTCACCCCAGTACCTCTACTCGGATAGCAGTTTTGAACTTCTCCTAAGCGGCCCCCCAAGATGGGCTTCACGACAGGCTTTGTGAGCACCTCCCTGCCTCTACCTTCTTACAGATTCAGGCCTCTTCGTACTAACCAGTGATATTTTTTTTTGGCGAAACCAGCTGGGCGGCGCCACACTGACGTACTCTCTCCTCTACTTCTCGCTCTACGTCCACCGCGCGAACCGCAATGTCCAACGCACGCTCCTGTCCCAACAAGCCACACTGCTGAACTCAGTGGTGGAGCCCGCGCCCCCGCTGCCCGATCCGCCCGCGTACGAAGTCCGGCGGGCTGGATTGATAGAAGAGCTCAAGGACCGGTGGAACAGGGAGGTGGAGAAGCTGGTCAAGAATGTCGAGGAGACGGACTGGTCGCTCGTGCGGGAAGGGGTCGAGGAGAAAGTGGGCAATGTGTGGGCGAGAGTGAGGCAGTCACAGACGGGCCAGGAGGTGCAAGACAAAGTCAAGGAAATGGTGGACGCGGGAAAGGAAAAGGTCGACGAGGTGGTGGGTGCTGGCAAGCAGAAGGTCGACGAGAAGACGACCAAAGAGCCGACACGGTTGTTGGAGCTGAAATGAAATCCTTTACAACAAAACACATTTTGTCAAATGGCAGCCATACTCATTCCCCCGTCCCGGAAGTATGAATGAACGAACGATACCTCGTCTCCGCCCCCCTCCAAACCCCGTTGTCGTGGTCCTTGTGAACCACCACCACCGCCACCACCAGAGTCACCAGTCCTTTGCACACAGAGCAACCGAGCAGCTACCGAGAATATACTTCCCCCGCCACCGAGCTTTTCGAATAGAGCTCAACTCCATCGTCTCGTCTTCAACGATGGGTTTGTCCGTTTCATGTGGTTCGTGGTTCACCAACGCAAAACGTGGTCAAAGAACACGCTGCTTTGAATCTGCATCTCTGGCTGTGGTACCTTTCGACTTTCGATTTGCGACGTCTACCCAACATATCAAGGAGTCGATTAACCAGCTCTCACAGAGAAGGGGCAAGGGGCAAGGGGATCGTGAAGCGTTGCAGTTGTGTGGACCCAGGCTTGTTCTGGATGAATTTCACAACCCTTTGCAAGTTTCCTGCACCCCATATTGATGTGACCTTGATAATAGCATGTGCCCTGCACGCAAAGGTATACCCATAGTTGCACCTTTGGGATATGAGCAAGGCGAGAAACAAGGGGATGAAGAATAAATCAAGCTTGCACAAGAACAAACGGGCTCAGTGGCGCAGAAACAAGACATGTTCCAAGGGTTTTCGAGTATTCTATCACAACAAATGGAAGTATTGTTTTCCTTTTCGATTCCTTTCTTATCGAGCAAGAGCCCATGACTCTCGCTCCAATTTGTGTGTCGAGGTCAATTCCATGGCATGCCGCGGTGTCGCAAAAGCACGGCATGTCCATTCCGGACCTTCAGCCCCTAGGAAGCAATGTGCTCACACAGAAAAACAAACGCCTGTAACACCATGCATGCTGTGGTTCAAGTCCCTCGATCGTTCCCTTTAAGAAGTATTCCTCGCCGCAACCTGATCCTTATACGGCGAGCAAAATTGTCATCTCAAGTTGCTCATTCGTTGTCATCGTTTGATTCGTCATGTGATTGTCTTCGCCTGTTCGCTCACATCTCAATCTCCAAAGAGTCTATTGTCGACGTCTGTTCCTTCGCCTGTTGTCCCTCTAGAAACGGAGAGCAAGAGCGAGCACTCAGGCCGTATTCGTTGACTGCGTCTGCTCATTGGCCTTTTGCAAGCTCTTCTCCAGCTCCTTGACCCGTGCTCTTAATGCCTCGTTCTCGCGCTTCACGGCCTCAAGTTCCGCTCGCTGTAATGCCGCCTCTTCGTACCTGGCTTGCGCAATAGCTGCATTGGAGCTTGGAGAGCGTGTCATTGCGGCATGGGAAACTCCAGACGAGCCGTCAATTGTCGACGACACAGAGCTGCGGTGCGGATATGCGTATCCTCCCTGGGTCAAATGTGGGGAAGAAGTAATGGAACTAGATCGAAACCCCGTCGCAGAGGTCGAGTTCTGTCGACTCATATCTGGCCTGCTCATTTCCATGCTGGGCCGCGCGCTGGCCTGGACGCTTTGGTCTCGTGGGGCTGCCACGCCAGAGACGCTGGTGTTGGCAGCGTTGGAGAGGCTCTCACGGATTGAACGAGCCGAACGAGTAGAGAGGTTCGAGGAGGAACGGTGACGTCGGGTGTTCGTGGGGATGATTGTGGTTCCCGTTGTAGTTGTATTGTACGGGTCATTGGCAAACAGCTGCTCGGAGGTGGACGAGGTGGTAGAGGCAACAGAGGCTGTTTGGGCTCGTAACGCAGACAGTTCTCGAGTTAGTCGATTGACCTGATAACCGTCTATTGTCAGTGCCTTCTCTTGTAGGCCATTCTCTCCGCCAGTGGCAAGTGCTTACAATGCTCTCTTGTTCTTTTTCAAGTTCCAGGTGTAACTCGGCCGCCGTCAGAGGTCTAGGATGTCGGATCGGACCTAGTTCCATTCTCAGTCAACCACCGTCGTTTGGTCGAGCGAAGGGTGATTCTACTGACCTGGGCCTAAACCGACACCTGTATTGTCCATCATAGCCACCTGTGCTGGCCTGGGTGAGCTGGGAAGGCTGTTGTTCTGAGGCAGTGGCGGAGGCAGCATTTGTGTCGAAGTCCTCCTTGACGCAGGCACGGATGGTTGTTGCGTTGCGGCAGAACTCGTCCCCGAAGCCTGTGAATTTGAACCACCCCGTGGTGATCTGGAGAACGAGTTGAGGTCGGGCATCTTCGATTCAGATGAGAGGATAGCACTGCAATGACTGTCAAGATGGGTGTCGGAGAGAACAGAATGTCTTCTCCCAGTCAGTTTTACAGGTCGCCCATCAGAAGCAGGACAAGCGGCCGGTTTGATGCGGTCAATGGGTGAATTTAGTTTTTGTAGGGCGAACCTAGAAGCTAGGGGAGTCTGCAATGACCTCTCCTCTGTAAACAGGGCGAGCACGGAACAGACAGCGCAGGACGTGGGCAGGAATGAGTGGTCTCGACTCTTGACCAGAGGGCCAACGAAGAAGGTCTCGGATCCTCCTTGCGCAAGTTGAAACCATGGAGGTCGCGTCGCCTTGGGCCAATCACAATCCACCGCCAGAGCACCTTCGACGCCCTTGTTCCAAGACTGTGAAGTTGCAAACCCCAAAAAGGGAAAATTGTAGTCTGTGTAATGAGCACGGGAACCGTACTTGAACATCTGTCAAATGTCTATATCTTGAACATGGATTCATTGGAGTCCATCCCACCCCCATCATTGCTTTGCCACTGCCCCTTGCATACCTTTCACTGTCCATTGTTCGAGAACGAGTTGATGGTGACGCGAGCATCAACCGACCTTTGTGACATGACCTCCAAAATCCAATAAACATTCTATCATTCCGTGCGCGCTGCTGAGAGCCATCAAGTCGCCTTTATTGCCATTTGTCTTCAGGCTACCGCCAAATGCACATGACTGATCGCAAGAGAACTCAGCACATTTGCCTGGTGTAATTCGCGCCCCAGCTACGGTGGGGTGCCTGCCAACACACCATCACGCTTCAAACATGTGATACTCTGGTTGGTGGTTCATCAACGAGCTTCCCGTTTGTCGCCACCGGTTCTGCATCGCTGTCCCGCCTTGGGGACGAATCCGAAGATGCAGGAAGGTCTGAGTCGTCATGATCCCAGCTCTCCCCAACCTTTCGGGGCGCCTTTTCTGGCGAGTCCTCCCGAGACTTTGGCGAATGGTCTCTTGGAGCATTTTCGACATGAGCGCTGTCATTGTCTTTCTCATCTTCCCCAATCATGGCGGCTAGACTTCTGAAATTGAACATTGGCTCCAGACTTCCTGGCGGAGGGGTCCCGGAGCCCGAAAATGAGGCCGCAGGACCTGGCTCGACAAATGAAGACGATGTGGACGAGGCAGTTGACATCTGCCGCAGATGAGATCGTCGGAATGGTTCGGCCGCGGTCGGGATAGGAATGGAACTCGCCAAGGACTCTTGACTAGTCCCGGACAGCGACAGAGCTGGAATATAAGATGGTCGCGGAGCCTCATCCTCCGCCTTTCCCCCATCCACAGGAGGGGTATCACTCCGCTCTACTCCCTTCCCCTTGCTGGCAGTAGAGTCATCGTCTTGGCCGAGAGAGAGATTGCTTCGAGATCTTTCCATCTGGCTGCTAGATGCGTCCCCGTTACTACCGTTGGAATTAAGGGTGAAAAGACTGTTCTTCCGCGCCGCTTTCTCGGCCTTCTTTGTCTCCTTTTCTTTCTTCTTCGCTTCTTTGCGCGCTTCTTTCTCCTCTTTCTTGCGGCGTTCTTCTTCGGAGGCCAGGCTTAGGCGGATAGCCTCCATCATCATCATGTCTTCCAGGTCGTCCATGCGACTTCGTCGGGAACTGCTGCCGCGTGGTGGTGGCAACATGGAGCCTGCGCGGGATTCTCCAGTCGCCTCCTGTTGCCGCGCTGCATGTCTCTCCGCCAGGATCGCAAGTGCACTCAAATTCGAACTTGGTCCATTCTCTCCCCCTTCTAGGGTTGACCGTCTCAACATTCCGCGGCGGCTGAATGCTGCGAAGGCACGTGAGTCTGCTCCCTGCCCGTTCATCAGATATGCGGCTGTATGTAACGCCGTAGCTGCTGCAGATCGTCGCGCAGCATGAGCCCGAGCAGCCGCCAGCTTGGTTGCCCAATCAGGGCGTATCTTGTCTGTGGTTATGACTTCGGGGGCATTTGCAGACAAAGAAGTCCCTCGTCTCCGACCGGGACCCGGAGAGAGGTTGCCTGAAGAGATTGATGTCTGAGAAGACATGGCAGACATGACCTGATAGGGTTGAGACCCAGTTCCATAGGTAAGCCCTCTCCGGAAGGGAGGTGGCGTGTACGTGATACCGAAATCGGGGGTTTTACAATATGGACAGGTTGCAATCTCAGAGACAAGTAGACCATCGGCCTGAGCCTCACGCTCAGCGTCTGAGACAGGTGGCGCATTCGGATCCGGTTGTTCATGTTCGGGTGGGTGAGGATCAGGCCGCTTGATCTGAACAAAACATTCCGAACAGATAGGCTGCTCGCAACACCTAGTGGTGTTGAGGTAAGGTGGGTAGTATAGAAAACATATCGGGCATTCCGATGCGTCCTTGTACAGGTAGACTTCGATTGGCTGTCCATTGACGAAAGGGTCGGGCGGCAGCTGGAATTCTCGTGGAGTCATATCTACTTGAGAATTGCCCCGGGACGAGGTCGCTAGAGACGCCAGCGTTTTGGCACGCGTTCGAAAGGTGCTGGTCCCCGGTGAGCCGGACGGGAGTGGCGAGGAGGGCGAGGGAAGTGGTAAAGAATTGGGAGGTGGTGACAGCGGCGCTGAACTATCTGACTGAAAGGACTGTGATCTTCCTCCAATGGGAATCGTAAGGCTTTTCAGTGCAGACTCTTTTGTCCTGTCTGTAGTGATCCTCTTCGCAAGCTGGTATTCAAGCTCAGGAGGCACTTCATCTGCTGGGGGAATAGGCATGCCGCGAGCGGCAGCCATGAGTTGATGCTCTGCCCACGAATCCGAGTAATCGTTCAGCCCTCTCCAGAAAGGAGCAAGCCGTCGCTCGATCTGTACCGCGTCAGTTACCTTCACATGAGTAACTGTGACATAATGCCCTACCATGAACTGTCTAACGATTGCTTTGTTGAAGTCTTCCGTACCCACGTAGACGCCTTGGGTCACCAGATATCCCCCATCAACATGCTCTTCTTTCATACTGCGCTCCCGCTCCTTGAGTCTGGCTGCTCTCTCCTTTTCTGCCTTTCGAGCTTCTCTTTCCACCTTAGTCTCGCGTCGCTGCTCAAGTGAATTGGCAATCTGATCACTGCTTCCACCAATGCCGAGGAAGGAAAAGTCGGGTCGGCTGCCTCTTCGTTGTCGGGAGTGCGCGGGCCCCAGGGGCACTTCCAAGTTGTTTTGTTGTCCATCTTGTCGTGGAGTCGGGCTCGTCCTGCCACTTACCCGCGAGCCAGAGGAGCCGTGGCCACGTGCTTCTTTTGTCTGAGAATTGCCCATGGTGGACGTATTTCTGGATCAACAAGCAACCTCCTGCTACTGGGAAACACCAATCTGTTCAGTCATCGCCACATTTTAGATGTGTCCTGCGGATCCGGCGTCAACCACGAACGGCTTTTGAGTCGAAATAAGATTTCGTTTGTTTTCGAATGCAGTGGTCGGTGCAGGTCTTTCCGAAGGGCTAGGATACGATTCGGATGTTGCGGAGCGTTCGGCCAGGTAAAAGAGACCCAGGCCGAGTCTGAGGATGATGGGCAAACAACGTCGTGGAGTGAGGAAGCTGATGTAAATCAAGGTCGTTGGGTGATCAGTGACCTCGCAAAACAACCATGTGAGATGAAATAAACTGGGACATAGTGCATGCACGTGGTAAGATATGCCGTGCAGTAGTGAAATCGCAGGGCAAGGAAGACCAGACCAATTTTCTCCAGGGATGGCGAAGTTCGCTGCAGTAAGGTCAAGTTAATGTACGTTGGTCTTGTTTTGACGCAGGGTGCTTAGAAGAGGAAGCAGGACGATGTACGGGAAGTGCGAGCACAGAGGGGAAACACGCACAGGCTGGATAATAGTGAAATGTCAGGGCTCAAAGGGTCGGGGCACTTAGCATCCGAGCAGCTACGATAACGATATGGAGGGCGATCTTCTGGGTGGCTGCCAGGGCTGCCCACCTATCTGCCACCTAAAAGTATTATTATTATGATGACACCAGTGAGGCTTTCCCTAAATCTGCAATTCATTAGTGGTGACTCAAGCCTCGGGTCCCCCGCATCACTTAGGATCTTCAAGCTTTGGCGTCCCCCCTGTACCTCCGTCAGTGCCGCTTGGTGCTGTTTCCGCCGCAGTCTGTGCCTGAACAAATTCAAGCTTTGGCTTGATTCGTTTGGGGTAGGAGTCCCTCTGAAGCACATTCCCCTCAAAAATCCCATTCAGCTGGTGCCCAGGGCGTCAATCTCGCAGCGCTTGTGTTGGACACTTTCTCTTGCCGACCGCGTGCTGTTTGGACTACGCCATGGTCTCTGAATTTGTACGACTACATGTAACGCCCTTGAATTCCGATCTTCTTCAAGTTATTGTTGGTCCACATCTCCTCGATTCGGTCACCAACTTGTCCTATCACTCGATCCAGACATTCCCAGAGAACAACTACGGCTACTTTGACCTTCCTGCCATGGAAGCCGACAAACTAAAGAAGAAGTTGAACGGAGCAATCTTGAAGGGCAGGAAGATTAGAGTGGAAGATGCTCGGCCACAGAAACGCAGGCGCATCGAGGGGTCGGACAAAGACGAAGAACCCAGCGTGAAGCCTGAGCGAGGGAAGCTGAAGAAATCCAAAGAGCGCAATGTTATTTCGGGCCATGAACTTCCCGTGGACCGCAAAGTGAAACGCGGCTGGACCGAAGCGAAGTCCACCAAGTCAAGCAAAAAGAACAAGAGCAAGGCATCCACGTCTAGCTCCAAATATACCGACAAAGACGAGGCGCTTTTTCGTACGAAGCTCCCTCCCAACAAACTCGATAATGTAGAGGCAGGGAAGAAGGAAAAGGGCAGGTCGAAGAAGAAAAGCACTGCACGAGTAGTGCACGAGTTTGAGAAGTCCACAATGCAACCTTCCTTCATCAGACAGGATATTGGGCTCGGCATCAAGGGAAATCTACAGTACGTTGAAGGTGAAGGCTGGGTCGATGAACAAGGACATGTGATTGAGAAGGAACCTGAGCGAGTCTCCAAGCGTCGCCAGACAATCAAGCAACAAGCCCAAGTGGACGACAAAGCTAGCAAGAGACGGCGACAGTCTTCTGAATCGTCGTCGTTGTCACCCTCCTCCTCCTCCAGCGAAGGCACCGATGAAGTCGAGATGAATGCTAGCTCTCCCGACAAGGACCAAATGGAGGACACGAGCAGTTCGGGTTCTTCTTCCGACTCGGAACCTGACGAAGAGACGAGCTCCAGTGTCTCAGCTCATGGCACTTCGGAGGCAGAAACACAGGCAGGACTACATCCACTAGAGGCTCTCTTTAAGAAGCCAAAAGGCCCTATCTCGGAGGACGTTGCAAAGCCATCGTTGGAGATCTCAACGTCGTTCTCCTTCTTTGAATCGGGGGATCCTGAAGATCTCGCAGAAGAGCCTGTCGTCCCATTGACACCGTTCAGCTCTCAGGACATCCGC